GTTCAGTTCTAATTTGAAAAACGTGCTTTTGCTGCATTAAGACAAATAGCTTAATTAAAAATTATACCTATGTGAATAAACTTAAAAAAAAAATCAATTCCACTGTTATTAGATGCATCTGCATTCTTGCCTATTGTTTTAGCTGCAGTATTTTGCATTTATTCTGATTTCCTAACTGAAAACTGCAAACCTGTTAAATTACACAGGTAGCTGACTTTGAATGAAGTTTTGGGAGTCGGTGTCTTTAGTTCTGCAACTGTTGGAAAAACTGAAAACCAGTCTTTGTTAAACAACAAAGATTGAGAATTCATGGCTATTGGATCATTATCTCCTAACAGTGCCTTTACTTGTACATCATTGCCTTGCTATCTTTCAGCCAGTTGGGCAGGAGATGATGTGTTTAAATTTACTGTGGCTCTAATGAAATGCTGAAGTATGAAAGGAATTTGTCCATTTGTAGTGATTACTGTGTGACTGGAGCTTTAATGTCGCTCTTGGAGAGCTCTGTAATGAATCACTATTATGATTCATGTTTTGTTGATCATTTAAGACTTCAAATTTATTTGGCTGTGTTTACTGATTTTTAGCATGCCATGATCTGTGAGCACTTACCTTCAAATCAAAGCAGGAGGCTGTGACACTGAACACTTTCCATGGTATTTCTGAAGTCTATAAACATTCTGGGGTCCAGCTTAGCAGTGGATAAATTCTTTTGTAGGAGTGTTTACCCTTGAATGAATTTTTAAAAAGCTATAATTGAAGCTATGGGCTCCAAACTCTGAATTCCTTGCTGAAGTTTTACCTTGGAGGTGTGGGGCTGTCAGGCACCTCACAAAGCTGGACCATTTATTCTCACACGGGAATGAACATGCCCTTAAACATTCCTGACGTGTTTTTAAATCTGTCCTTGAAGATCTCTACTGGAGATCTGATACCTCTAATATTTGTACCAACTTTTTTCAGCTTTCGGACATCTCTTGCTTCTTCTACCTTTAGCAGAAAAGAGAGCAGTTGCTATTTTTGTGTGAGAATCATTTGCTTATCAGCAGTGTCACAGCCAACGCTGTGCTGGGTGACTAAACAAGTCTAATTCCAAGAACGGCATTAGACTTGTTGATCAAAAATGATCCCTTGTGGCTTAAAAACTGTGAATCAGTCAACAAAAACACGAGATGAGATCATGTTCTGCTATCTGTATTTGTCACTGCTGTGAAATCTCAGTTACCCAAGGAAGAGGGGAAGGACAAGTATGGATGTAACCTCACTACAGCAAAAAAAAATAACAGTAACCCCAAAGCCAAAAGACAGAAAAGTGATGTAGCATACACAGACTTGAACAGACTGCAAACAAAGCTTTAAATAGCAAAACTGTTTGGAGCCATGAGCAGCAAGTTCTTGGTCATGCATTGAGCAGTGCTGTGTTGCAGCCAATGTCTGGAAGAAAAAAGGAGCAGGTTAATTCACCACCCAAAAATCTGCTCGTGGTTTGGCTATTTTCAGCCTTCCAAAATGAAGACCCTTTTGCAGCGCCAGTGTTTTCTCTGGTTAGCTAAAAAAGGTTAGCTTTGGGAGCTCTCTGGTTAATGAGAGTTGTCTCCTTCTGACATCTGTTGCGACCAAGGCTCTGTCTTTTTTCAAAATGAAGTCAGCACGTGAAAGCTGTGTGTCAGATTTCTGTTGCTAACTTGCAGTTAAAGGCTGAGTTCCTGATGTATGGGGTTAGTGTGGAATATGCTTCATACAACAAAAACTGCTCATTGACACGTGGTTCCACTGTGAAGAGGGATTGGAAGAGATAGCATAGACTCAGTACACGTTTCTTGAAATAGTTTTTTCATTAGTGACAGACGTTGCTTTCCGTGAGCTGTATTGGCTTTGCAGTGGAAGCCAAATCTGTTGGCTCGTGCTCTGATGAACATGCAGAAGGAGCTGCTGCCAGTTCATAATAGGTTCAAAAACTCGGTGGTGTGTGATCTAAGGGGAAAATTGGGTGGAACCAGCTTGATTTATATTCCAAAAGTTTGCTTAGAAGACTCATCATGGTTCTTTTCTAAAGCACAAAGCAGTCTCCTCACCCCTACAGCTCTCTTGCTACTTATTAAGCTGAAAATAAGTTCCTCAAATCTTGGGGGGTTGAAAATGACAAACCAGGAAAGCCATCTTTATGGGTAGAGCCATCTTTCTGAGAAAAAATGGAAATTCTAATATACATTGTAAAACTTCTGTTGAAAATTAAATTACCTATCTAGTTGATTTTGTTCTTTGGAATTAATTTATAACATTGCTACTCTTTGCCTTGAGACAACCTGATTTGGCAAGTATATACAGTGAGAACCTGTACTGCTGTAGCAACAACAACAAAAAAAAAGATGATTAACTTTTGGCTTTATCTAGTTAAGATCAAGCTTTGAATTGAATTCCCTTAGTGTGTTGACAGCTGAAGATTTATGTCTTCCAGCTATATTCCTGTTGCAGAGTTGGCAGAAGTGACCTCTCCAAAAAAGGTCTTTGTTACGGATTTTGCTCTGTTTACATTATTGCCATGAAGGCTGCAATGAAATACAGTACATTAAAGCTAATATATCACCTGCTGACAGTGGTCTTATCTCATTTGTACCTCTTTCCCTTTCCCAGCATGGAAAAAATGCAAACATAAGAATCTGAGGATCAAGAAAAGAAAGTTAATAGTTTTAAAGAGTGCTAGAACTAACGTTAGGTCCCTGTGTGCAATGTATTTTTGTGTCTGGCCAAATGATTCCTTAATTTTTTCATCTGTGAAGCTAATGTAAAAATGTCTTTACCATAGTAGTGCTACAAAGGAGCAGAAAGAGCAATTTGAGGCTTAGGGTATCTATCAGGAGCAAGGAGGTGGCTCAGAGTTGAAAAGAACTCAGGATGGACTGGCAGTGAGGAAGCAGTTTTAAGGCTGTTCAACCTTTGTGGAACTTGTGATGTCTTTTACTCTTCAGCTTGAATTATTCCCTGTCCTGTAGACCTTTGGGTTCTCCACAGCTCTTTCAATCTGTCCTCCCCTCTCTGCTCTGGCAATGGCATCATAAAGCAAGCAGTATGGAGTGGCTTTTTGAAGAAGGGTGCCCAAGCATACCTGCCCTGCCCTGTTTAAGTCTAGGTGACTAGTTTGTTCCATCACTTTGTCTCTTGAGAGATTCTGAATCTCCCTTTAGGTTGTATGAAGATAGAAGAAGGTAGAAAAGCTGCTGATTATACCAGACCTTGACAGAAGATCTTATTCCTCTCTCTTCCCTCAAATAGAGGGATAGGCCTTCTATTGTATTTAAACCAACGTGTCAGTGAAAGTTTGGTGGGATGCTGGAGTAAACAGTGGAACTGTTTCTTTGAGTGTTGTTTGTATAGTCCATAAATAATGGGTCTTTCAGTCCTCACCCTCAGTGAGGCGAATAAATAGTGGCTTGCTTTCTCTTTCAAGTGCTTCAAAAACACAAACACTGCCAGTCTTTTATATGCATATGCATGTGTTCAGTTTCAAAATGTGCTTTGAAATCTCTCAACAGGGTGCTCCCCAGGTATCCTTTGAGGATGGGGAAATGAACCTTGCAGGACCTGCAGAACTGTTGTCATCGCAGAGGGCCCGTCTTCCTGTAAGGTAGGAACGTATTCTGCAGTGCTTACTTCAGCATGCTTTATCTATATGCAAGACAAAACTGACTTTTCATTCTAATCACACCTGCATTGTACTCATATTTAAGAGAAGGCTTTGGGAAGACCTCATAGCAGCTTTCCAGTGCTTGAAGGGAGCTTATAAGCAGGAAGAGGGGAGTGACTTTTTACACGGTCTGATAGTGATAGGACAAGGGGGAATAGCTTTAAACTGAAAGAGGGCAATGTAGGTTAGGTGTTAGAGAAAATATTTCTTACTCAGAGGGTGGTGAGGCACTGGAACAGGTTGCCGGAGGTGCTGTTGATGCCCCATCCTTGAAGGTGTTTCAAGCTGTACCAAAATATAACTTCCTGTGCATCCTATGGGCCTGTGAGGAGAATGTTTAGATTTCTCAAAACACTGTTTTGCCTGCTGACCTGAGGGAGATAGTAAGATTTTTTTTCAGCCTAAGACTTGTTAAATATATTCAAGTATTTGTAAGATATTCAAACTTGTAGAAACAATGAGCTTAGGAGGATTTTAGAGAACATTATTTTGTTTAAAAAGTATATATATACATGCACTTGTCACTCTGTAAAATTTACTGGCATTTCAAATGTTAAAGAATATAAATGTTAAAGCAGTGATTTTGTTTCTGTACAGCTTCTTCCACAGAGAAGTGAAGAGTTATTTTTTAAAGCTGTTTTTTCAGAAGTATTTTGTTAGTAACAATTGTTTTATAAAGAGAAAATAATGAAGCACTCACTAGAGGCTGTCTGTCCATCTTACAGGTATCTTACTTGGACTGAATTTGACTAATTATCTGTTTTAGAAGCTCTTATAATGAAATAATAAAATTTTACTTACACAAAAATATTTAATATAACGTATCTTAATATCTGACTTGGTTCTTTTTACATTATTTCTGGAAAAAAAAATAATTCTAATTTGCAGAGATGTCTGACCTGTTACGTTTTGAAGATTTTAGGGCCATGAGGGGTTACCAAGTCATGATACCATAAACCTTTATTTAAATAAGTCATGTTATGTTTAATGATGTTAATGAAACTAATATTTCAGCCTGAGGGCTGCTCCATGCTATGGAAGAGAAGAAAACCACTATTGTCCCTGCTGCTTTCACCAGAAAGTATTCCTTCCTGTCATGGAGTTTGATCATTATGACCTTAGCACTTAAATAAAACAGCAGCTAGTCACCAAAGAAAATTATCTGAGACTTCTCGTCAGAGCAACAGTCTGTCTGAGGTCAGCATCCCTTCTCTAACTATGGCTAATAGCAGGTATTTCAGAGGGAAGGAAAATAAAGAGCCTCGCAATTAATATTTTATGATTGTGAAACCCAGTCAGTTGAAGTGAAAGGCTTCAGACCTGGATTGTTTTATAATTCTCATTCAAGTAGGAAAACTGTTCCATCTGAAGAAAGTTTAGTTAATTGCTTTAGGTAGGTAAAATTAGAAAGTTGCACACATGATAAACGAAATGAGTGGCAGTGTGAAGGACTTCTAGTTCCTCTATGTAGAAGCTAATAGGAAGAAAGTTTCTTTGCCTGAATTCTCTATAAAATATTTCACTGTGGAAGTACTGGGAACTTTTTCAGGATTGTATCCTCCAGGAGTCTGAACAATTCCACGTTCTGAGAGCTGAATTTCGCTGAATTTTACTGAAACAGAGGTTTGAACATCATGTCATTGGCAATTTTTAGTGGAATGTATAAAGACAGAAGTAATGACAATCCTCTTTTAATTTCTGATGGTGCTTATTTTGTATTTTTTAATAAAGATAATGCTCAGAATAAGAGTAGCTATGCTAATACAATCAGTTTATAAAATATGCTGTTTTTCCTTGTTTCCCATCATGTTCTGAATGAGAACTGAAAAATATTTATAGTAACAGTCTGGTCTTGCTACTCTACAGACATCACACAGAAATGTGTTGCAGCCTGTAACATTCAGTCCTGTAGCACACTGTACATAGAGATACTGTTTCTCAATCCTTGCTTCTCTTAATAAAAATGACTGTGTTAAGGAAGGGGAAACGTGAATCTGCTTGGAAGTGAATGTTTGGCTTAATAGCAGTGGATTAGCTGGAACTCTGAGAGTAATGTATGCATTGATAATTCATTATGTGTTTTCATTAAGTTCTGTTTTATTGTCTTGCTGCTTTTCAGCAGAGGTCAGAGTTAGTTCCTTGGTTTAAATTCTGTAGGTACATAATTAAAGTGTAACGGCAGTATTTGTTCCCTCTCTCTATTTTCCTTTTTTTAAACCACTTTCTGCGTCTTGCAGTAGTCTGACAACACGCAACAACTTTAAAAAGATAAAGAAAAAAGAGAAAAACCTGGTGCCTGCAGGCTGTCTGGTTTGTCTCTAAATTTTCAGACAGCTGATCTGTGAGAGTTAACACATTTTGGATACAAAATGATGATTGGTTGCCACTTCAAACCTGAAACAGGAAGATTACAGCATTACTTCATAGTAAATATTTTAACTTCTTGCTAATTTATTTCTGTATACAATGGAGCAACTGAAAGGTGCTCCTCTTAAAGGCAAGTGAGCAACTTCCTGGGCTTTGCTGAACTCTGCACATTCAGTGGCTTTCTCCTCTCCGTGCAGAGTGCTCTCCACCACCTCTTGGATATTGCTCAGATTTTCATCTATCTTTGAGTGATTTCACACTAGCATCTCCAGCTCCAGTTTCTTCACCGATTCCAAGTAATTTTCATCAGAACTTCTAGCATCTGGTTTATGAGGGGGAAGGAAAGATGAAAAAGGAGTAGCAAGTTGGAGAATGTGCATTCAGATGGCTTAGTTGGGACTGGCTTCTCTGAAAGGATGGGTACAGATCATTACCATCAGCAACTGTCTGTTAATGTGTAAAAGTGCATGAATAGAATCATCACCCTCTTTATCAGCCTAAATCTTTGTGATTTGTCTTCAAAATTACATCTACTAACTTGCTATCACCCACAGGCTATGCTCCCTGTCACATGTGAGTAGCCCCTTTTCCTGGGTGCTCTCCTCCCCTGGAATGGCAGAACCCAGTGGGACCATAGATACACGTGGAGGATGAGCAGGAAAAAGCAGCTCAGTAACTGCATCCATGAGCTCTCTGCATCTGACTGAGACTTCCTTGCCTCTTACTTGGCTCTGGTCAATAAAAATGCCACAATGCATGTTTGGAATATCAGCTATGCCTCCCCTTTTTGCAGGGGACACACTGACATTCTGTAGTAAGAATTACTATTTTTTTTTAATACGGCAGCTTGCTAACTGTAACTTCCTTAAAAGCATATTCAGTGGTTATATTCAGTGCTATATTCACAGCTTGTTGTTTTGTCATCATGAGCCTGAGTTAACTAGTTTAGTGCAGATGTTGAATAGGGTTAAAATGGCAGAAGAATATGTCACTGGAGTGATAACTACTTATTACGTACACATAATAAATTTTGCCCTGTGTTGAAATAACGTTTTACCAAAGTGCTCCCTTCTGTGTGTTGCAAAACAGTCTGTTGTAGGTTGTATCTACTGCTTTCTCCAAGGGAAATCCTGGCAAGATCCTCCCAGCATTGGTAATTTAGGAAAGTCAAAGTGAACAAAATCCTGGTTCAGAATTTTTACCTATGGAGTGAGGTCCCTTCTAAGCACCTGCACTTTTGGTGGATGAAATATATTCGTTAATAAATAAATTCGTTATAATAAATAAATTCGTAATAAATATATTCGTTCTTCACTATTCTTGGGTAGTTTGAGGAGCCTTCAGCTTACAAAGCTTTCCCTGTTGTGTATGACAAATTGATATCATCTGGTGCAGTGTTCAGGAGAGAGCTGTAATACTTGACAGCAAGGTCACTATCAATGTGAAGATCAGACTGATTGGCCACTGAATATGCAGCACTGCATTTACATTTTGCTTTCCATGTTCAAAATGGACTGTTGTGCATGCTCCCTGTACCCACGCGCATGCACCTACATCCTCTCTGTCTTCTCAAACTGTGCTCATCAGCATTTTTAATAACATGCATGGCAGATCTTCGTGCCAAATGTGATAGTCTGTAAAGAATCTGGTGGAAATCAATAAACATCAAGCACTGGAGAGTTTACATTAGTAAACAGTGGTGGCTTCCTTGGGCTTAAAATCAATAGTGCAGTGCTGGCTGTGGCCTTGGACTCAGCCAGAAGCCGCGCTGGGCAAGGACGGTGTCCTTGCTGAGACCAGAGATGGGGTCAGAGCACCAGCATGTATTTGCAGAAGCTGCAGTATTTTCTGGAGCAGAATCTCTGCTCCCTGGGAATATGCAGAAGATGCCACGCTGTTTGTCTCACTAACCTGTGAGCTGGTGCTGCTGGCCTCATGTTGAGCCAGCAATTGAGCTCCAGGACTCTGTTTGGTCAGAGCTGCATTTTCATTCGACATAGAATGCATATGGGATGGAGAGGGAATATTTGAAATAGGAGTAGATCACAAGAACATTACTAGCTTTTGGAAGTTACCTTTTCCTTTTCAGAGATCAGTTTGTTTTTTAAATGTGAATATTGCAATAAATCCATAAATTACCCCCAGGTATCAATATTGCAGCTGCTAACCAAAACCACAATGTCACTCTGTGTTCTCTCTCACCACTTGCTTTCAGTTTTTTAACATGACTCTGTTGAACTCAGGGACCCATCACCTTGGGGTCCTTCATGCCTGTGGAGTTCAGGAATTGGTACCCGTAGGCTTAAAGCTCATCCTACTCTGCATATCACTAACTCCTCCTTTCATTGTTCTATTTTCTTGCTAGTGTAGTTTAAACTGTAAGCCAGTATGGTCAATATGCTTCTGGAATTAAGCCATTCTTATGGGCAGATGAAACCAACTGGAAGATGGTCAGCAGGAGAGGATGAGGTCTGATTTTGCTAAGTCTTTAATCTTTGAAGTTCTTAACCAAGAAAGCTCAATCCCAGCTATCCTGTTTTGTTTATTTATTTATTTATTTAACAGTCAGGCTTTTGTAGGTACAATTACAAATACAGTGTGTCTTCAAAGATCTGTTCACATTGTTGTAAAGTTTTCAGGTGTAAATAGGAATTACACTTGAGAATGAAAAATGCATTGGAGTCATAGTATTTTTTTTTTCCTATAAGACATAAAACACCTTTTATATTTGCATGTAGTGTTCTCAATCTTGTTCTGGATATTTAGCACTTTAGTGCATAGCTTGTAGGATGTGTCACTGGTTTTAAAAGTCACACACAGTCTACCTGCAGGCTACTTGTTTTCAAAAGGAAACCCATTTTTCATACTGAATAGATTTTGTTAGATTTAAAAATAAACTTGTATGTTGTCTTTGGCTTTGAGCTGACTTTTAACTGTAAGTGCACTGATGTGAGATGACAGGTAACCTGTCTGTCGTAATCGCCCTCAGAAGATTCCTGCTCTATTTTACCACTGCTTAGGAAGATGACTTCCCAGGAGTCATCGAGCAGCACAGGGTTATCTGGGGGCAGCCATCATTTATTTAAAATCTTCCCAGTACAAATGGAAACCTATTCATTACTGTTGATTATTTTTTTGGGTCCTCTGGGCCCAGAGGACTTGTTGCTTAATTCCTTTAGATGCTGTGATTCTGTACAAGTCCAAAAGATAATACAGGTAGCATTTTAATTGTATGCATGTATTTGTCTGTTAAGAGACTTGGTGGAAGTAGCAGGTTAAACAGGAAGAATAGTTAACTTTCTACATGTGTGGTTTTGGGAAGCATCCTGAGTGGAGTCTAGCTTTTCGGAACAGTTTCACTAGAAAATAAAAATATTTTGTGAAACCAAACCAAAGAACCTCATGGGAAGGTTTTGTCAGTATTTCCTTGCTTATTTCATGAGGAGAAGGGAGTACAGGAAAAAAAACGAGCAGGTAGCAATACATGTTGGTAACGCCTGCATTGTAGTAATGTGAAAGTCTCTTATTTTGGAATCAGCTGTGGATTGTTGTGCAGGACGTATATATATTTCAATTTTATGAAGTACAAATTCATTCCAGTCGGCCTTCCTGGGAGAAAAAAACTACAAAAAACCCTCAAAACTGTATTAGCTCATTTTCTCATTCCGCATTTATCCAGGCAAGAAAAGAATTATGGTACCAGGGGCAAGTTGCTTGTAATTAGTCATCACACAACAGGAAAAAGGCTTTTAAAATAAAAATATTGTGTTATTAGAAGCCAGAGGCAGAATTTGAATAAGATCACTTGCAGTTATTGTCCTTCTTGAGAGATGCACTTTGTACCAGTTGCTTTTATGTAGACTCTCACCTGATGTGGCGAGGAGGTCTCTTTCAGAGTGGTAGGACACAGTACCCTGGTAATTGTGTGTTTCTGCCTATTCCTGCCTTGAATCCAAAGGCTGTGGGTCAGTGGGATCTGTAAGCTGATCTGTGCAGAAAATGTTTTCCCCCTTCCCCCCACCAGGAAGACACTGCCGATGGGGTTGGGGGAACAAAGGACTCGGTGATCTTTCTGCACAAGAAACACGCGCTCTGTAGATCTGTCATGTTTGCAGATATTTTGGAAGCCTTTTCCTCAGCAGCCTGTGCTTGCATTAGATTGACTCGAACTCAGCACAGTATGCGAAGTGGTCATTTGGTTCATGTTTACAGAACTGCAAATACTACAGAATTTGCATGCAGGTATAAACAGAGTTTTTTATAGCTTGAAAGGATCAGAGTACTCCTAATGTGAAGGAAGATACCCAATAGCTCTCCCCTAATTCTGAATGTCGGTGGAGTTCAGTACGATTCAAGAGGATGGAGGTGTTTCAGAAAAAGTAGACTAACACAAAAGGTAGGAATTCCATACTGGAATGTAGGACTTACCCCCTTCTGATCTTTTTTTTTTTTTTTTTTTTTTTTTTTTTTAATGTTCTAGCCAATTCAAGTACCTTCCTTTTCAAATTATGATCACCCAGAATAGAACTAAGGTCACTGCAAGGCCAGCAGGGTATAATCCTCCATAGGAAAAGAAACAGCACCTAGCCATGAACAGCTAAAAAAGAAATAATTATACTGCCAGAGATAATAAGAGGTTATTGATAATGGTGATTGAAGTAGGAAACTTCCTGAAAAAATGAGCTGAGTTGCATTTCTGATTACAGTTCGGGGTTTTTTTTTTTAATGTCAGCGACACTGTATGCAATGGAAGGCAGAAAGCAAAATACTTACAATTTAATTAACCAGCTTATCTCTTTGATGTCTTCAAAGTGTGATTTTCCTGTTTTTAATGTGTCCACATGGAGAAATTGACTGAAGAGGCTCAAAAGAAACATAAGTTTAAAAAGTTGCTTTTCTCTATAACATGTAGAGTAACCTTTAGTTTTAAATAGAATGAAGATTATTCAGACTTCAAAGCTTACCTTACATATTCTAATTAATTTATTAAGGATTTACTTAAGAGGGCATCTAGTAATGATGTCATTTCCTATCGGAGTTCCAATTCCTAAACTAAAGAAAAATTAAAGAAATCGTTAGCTATTTTGAATGTCATCAGATTTTCTCTGTACTAGTGAGTTCTGAGCCTAATATTGATTCTATACTTTTATCTATCTGATCAAATCATTTGGTTTAAAGCAGAATGTGTTTTTGAGATAGAAAATTCTATAAGGAAGCAAATGAGATGTGTTTCTTTGTGCTCTTTTTTTTTAGTGAAATGACCAAAACAGTGGAGATTTCTGGGGAAGGTGGACCCTTGGGAATACACGTAGTGCCCTTTTTTTCATCTTTGAGTGGAAGGTAGGATATTGTCTGCATCGCTCAAGAAGTGTATTAATGAAAGAATTTCAGTTGCAGTTCTCTTAAACGACGTACTGTATAAACACAAAGAAGAATAAATGGTTAAAAAAAAAAAAATCTATAATTGAGTCTATGAACCCAGTCTCCCGTTACTGAAATGCTCACCAGTCTGTTACATGTGAAACAGTTCCACTCACTAGTTCGTATTTGTCTTTTCAGTTGCCTCTGTTTTTCCTCTCTGGGTGGGAAACTAGACTGTAGGAAAAAGAAATTCTAAGATGTCAGAGTTGGCTTTATTTTCTGTTTATTTATTTTTATTTTAAGTTTCTTGATTCAACTGGAGTTCTCTGCATAGGCCCTTCCTTAATGACTTATCAGACAGGAAAATCAAGAAGTAAATAAAATAACCTGTTTTTTTTTCCTAAGCCACCTTTCAGATTTGGTTGTATAGCATTTATAGAATGTGTACTGTAACTGTGAACTTTTCTTTGTCACAATACAATTCCTGTAATTATAAATGATTTAACATACTCTCTTGAGATCACAAAAGCCTGTTATAGCAGCATGCTCATATTGATGTACTGTAGTTAAGACTGCGTCAGCATTTTTTTTATAACTGTTTTCCAAGCTATGTAACTGGAATGTCATAAATAAATAAATAAACCTAACTTAATTCTGGGATGAGAGGCTTAGCCAAGGAGTTAATTTGACACTGGCAGTCTTGAACAAGACATGGGAAATTGCCAGGGCCGTAAATGATACCATTTTATAGTAATGTGACTGCCTGCAACACAAAGCCAATTACTAGTAAAGTAAAAATTTTCTAATCCTTAAATGTTTCTTTAGTTGTCAACTTTCATGTAGGACAGAGAATGTGAAGGATTAAATTGCCTTGTAAAAGTTTGTGCCTGTAAATACTTTCTCAGCAGCATCCCAAGTTGTTAGCAAGATCAAATTCGTTCAAAATATTTATTTTCCAAAGGGGAAAGTAAATGACCACCTGCTGCTGGAAAAATGTTGTCACTGTTGCAAGAACAAAGTTGCTGTGCCATGGGGACTGAAGGAGGTCTGAGCTGCATGCCTGGCTTTGAGGCTGCCTGCTTGTCTTGAGCAAGGTGTTAGTATTCGTAACCCATCATGAAATGCAGACAGTAGTTCTTTGGGTTAGACATACCTTGAATATTGTATTATAAACATTGTATGCAAGATTGTTAGATAGAAAATGTGATAAAATTACACGCTGTTAAAATCAGTAAATTATTGCAAGTGTACTACAGTGAACTATACTGAAGTCTTGGTGCTTTGGGTGCATCTTTTAAAGACCTCCATGATGAAAAAGTGGAGTTATTTTGTCTACATTCTGTGCATGTTATTTTGTCTTTGTTTACAGGCATATTTGAGGATCTCTGAGAACAAGGGTTTTTGTTCTTTTCTTTAGGCAGATGACCTACTTGTTTATACAGTTGTCTTGAAATTGTAATGACCCTTGGCAGAACCATACTGATAACTTTGTAAGAGTGCTGGGTTACTTGAATCACTTACCCCTTTTATTTAATCAGGCACGAGACTAGTGTATAAATTTTAACTCATGAAAGATGAGAAAGTACAGAGAAGCATCTTTTATTTCTGTTAAGGATGAGGTGCAATTTATGGGGGCATGTCAACCATGACTAACTTGGTCTGGTATTTCAGTTAATTACTAATAAGGTAATGCTGACTTCAGACCTAGTATGCTGCAGAGCAGAATTTTTCTATGTGTAGTTAAAACATCTTATTAATTTATGAACCCTTATATAGGAATTAGAAAACCACTGGAATTATTCTTCTCCTTTCTTCTGCACTTAGATATCGTTAAAAAAGAAAATTAAAATTTAATAGTACATTAAAACAATGCTAAAATTGAGACTGTATGAAATAGGTAACGGAGTAATGAATTTAAGCTGCCTTACCATACATAACTCAATCCACTCATTCAGATTCCATAGTGCATACAATAGGTTTCAGACAAGTGGGAAAACCTATAGTGTTACATGGATGCAGGCATCTAGGCATGATAGGATTAGTGAAGATCATAGCAACCAACTTAATTTGTAACGTCTTTAATTTCCTTGCTTCTTTTGGTTTCTATCTTGACACATTTGCATTGAGTTATTTGTTGGCATTTAGTTTTTTGATTGCAGCTGGTTGGATGTTCATCATCGGTAGGGCTATGGCCATACCCCCCCATTTGCCCTTTGAATCCTTTGTTGAAGAGTGTAACACAGGCTACAAGATAACCTTGATATGTTGGGTCTTTCGTTTCTGTGAGATGTTTCAAAACATTCTGTTCAGTTGGAACCAAGTTTACATTTAGAGTATGTTTCTTTAGACATAAATATCAATTTAAAAATCTTTCTAGATCTAACATCAGATGCACAATGAATATTATATCACTTAAAATAGCTTGCTGTGAATCTTTGGATGAAATTGAATATGAGACAGTTATGAATCTGAGGAAAAATACAAGACTTCTGTTTTGGTGATGTGGGTGCTATCAAAGTTGGAAATTGCACATTGATATTTTATGGAGTATAACCAGTAGAAAATGGCTTCTACAGACTATCTGTCTGTGCTGATATGGTATGGCAATTTAGTGGATAAAACTGGATGTTAAAAGATCTTGGTGAACATGCAGCTGTTGTGTTATTGGGGACATCATTCTGGTATCATTTGATATATCTACATTGAGTTATGTTTGCAATACAGAGATGCTCCAGGTAGATGGAGAATAGTTCAGCCCTGCCAGAAGTTAGCCCCACCACAGTCTCGCTCCAGCTATGCTTCTTCACTTAACACATTTGTGGTATTCTTCAGTTTTCAATTTGTGAGGAGCATGATAAACAAAAAAACAGGCAAACGAACAAACTTAGGTTTTGATCTGCGAGGTACATAAATGGTTTTGCTGTCATGTATCAAAATAGCAGGCTTTGAGAACTGAAAATGTTTGGAGACCTTCCAAACATAGAAACTTTTTTTTTGTTTTATCCTACTGCCAGTTTATTTTGCTAAAGTCTAGTTAGAACAATACATTTTAAACTGCTTGTGCTTTTCTTTGGAGCAAGTTAATCTTGGTGACAGACCTGTGTTGCATAAAGTACAAATAACTTTTTATCTAGATGCAGAGATCGCAGGGTTTTCTTCCGTATATCCAAGTATGACTTACGGGATTTAATGCTTTTTGAAGTTCTAGCATGTAGGATAACATTAATGTCCAACAATTTTTATTGGTGCATCTTACAGTCCCCTGTGAATTGAAGCAAGAATGGAAAATCCTTCATTTAGGTTAAGCAGTTCATTATGGTCTTCTCTATCTCAAGTCATGTCTCAAGTGAAGATTAATATGTGTATTTGATTGCTATAAAATAGTATCAGCAGTATAAGGATAGGTTTTTTTTTCCCCTCCATTTAGGATGCTGGGACTTTTTATCCGTGGTATTGAAGAAAATAGTAGATCTAGGCGTGATGGGCTTTTCCATGAAAATGAGTGCATTGTGAAGATCAACAATGTGGACCTCACAGATAAAACGTTTGCACAGTGAGTGCTGTTTTACTGATATTTTTAGCTGATGGGGATTTTATACTATGCTGAGTTTATTGAAATGGTTTGTGCAAATTGATATTTATTTTGGATTTAATGACTATAAAATTGTTGTTTGGCAGAAACTTTGTGATTTTCTTTCTGAAACCTCAAAAAAGGTAGAAATTGAGGACAAGAATTTTCTTGTAGCCTTAGTGAACCTTTTCTGCTTATTTAATTTAAATGACTTTAAGGGTTGTTGTTTTTCTTTATAGTTATCTTCACTTTCTAATTCTTCTATTGTTGTTGTGTATTTTCTTTGTTCCTCAAAGAACTTCAGAAGGAATCAACTTTGCAGAATATTTTTCAATGTTCTTTTGCAAAGGTGATGAGATTTTTTTTGATGCTGTTTCTTTTTCAGCAGTTAGGTTTTTAGAAATGCTAGTACTGTCAAACTGATTAGTTGAGATATATGGGTTATGTTGACTACTAAACTGGAGGGTTGAGGTTATGAGGTGAAGTCTCACCTTTTATGACTATTTTTGGAAATCTGTTGACATTTACTATTCATCTCAAATTACTTTAAGTAACAAGTTGCTTTGATTGGCTATGAATTAGGGATATTGTTGCAAGAAAGGCTAGCCTCTCAAATTTCAGATATTTGCTGTAGTAATTAAATAGTAATTTGTTTTTATCTTCTAATCCATATGTTTAGACAGCTGAGTGTCTGTTTATGATATAACAAAAACCTATGGAGATCTCAAAGGAATTGAGGCTTAACTTTCTGAACAGTAAGCTGAACATTCAAGGTATCTAGACTAAAATCAAACACATAATTTTGTTTTTAAGGATAAGTATTTGCAAAATAGGCTTTGGTAAAACCAGCATAGTTGGTAGTAGGTTTTTTTTTTTTTTTTTTTTTTTTTTTGCTTTCTTCCTCCTAACTGGTTTTCCAGATAACTGCTTTCTGAATGAGTGGTGGTAAAACATCCTGACGTAATGCTGTATGTGCTATTCTCTTACAGCCAAGGTGGAGAATTTCTGCATAAATTACTATGATTCTCAAAATTTAAATGTGAAAATATGATTGCTTCATCTGTGCAGTTTTGTAATGAAGACATATACTTCTGAAATGAGACTGCCTGAAAAAAATCTCCCTTTTTCAAAATTGCATATTTGTTTACATACTTGTCTCCTTTGTATTCTCTTCAGAATTTAACTAGTTTTCCAAAGACTTTCAAAGCCATAAAAGATGTATGCAGGTCTGAGGACTCTGTGTTTTTCCGTAAGGTTACTCTATTTGGAACACTTGGAAATGCTGCAGCAAAATTTCCAATTCTCTGTCAGGTTTCCCTTTCCCTTCAAAGTGAGAAATGCAGGACACTCTTTCTCCAAGTTTGCAAAAGACTGTGGGAGTTGAAGGGGTTATTTACGTGAGCAGAGAAACCAGTTGTCTTAGACGATCTTTATCATCAGGAGAGCAAAGTGACTAAAAGTCCAATCAGTCACCTGAGGAGCCATATATTATAATGAAAAGTAGTGTGGTCAGCAGTGGTCTTGGATCAGAGGAAAAAAACGTGGGTATTGAGGACTGCATCTGTACTTTGTTCATTTGAGGGCTGGGGAGAAGACTTTGGACAAGCTCTAACCTCTAGGTCGCATGGCCTATTGTACTTCTTCCAGAATGGCCTTCTACATCCTTTCTGTTTTTGACTGCTGGGAATGACTAGAGAAAAAGAACCTTTCTAGGCTGATATTAATCCCATGAATATGCCTTTTGATTTTTATATGGCATGACATAATTCTACTAACCTGACAGAAATCCAAGTTGCAGCCATTCCAGTGAGTATGAAGTAGTATTGTCCTGATGACTACTGACCTAGAAAGGCTCATCAGATTCTTTGAGAGGAAAATCTGTTTGCTACTTTCAATCTGTCAGTTCTTCATAATCTTTGTGAAAGCTCTTTTAACCTTCAATAGAGTTTGTTACGTACGTCTCCTTCCATTTTCAGCAGTGGCTTTGTAGGATTGCTCCTGATGATTGCTTCTTCTACAGCCGTAATAGCAACAACCTACTTTCTATATTCACATGTTTATAATATTTTTGTGTATTAGAACTACTGGTCTGCTTTTTCATTTGCTGTTAATCTATTCAATTGCATTATGTTGTGTTGCAGAGCTTCTAGCACCTCTTCTAATTGACTCCCTTATTTCTTTAAAGTGTATGTTTGGGGTCTCCAGAAATGTAAATTTATCCATCCATTATTCTTTCTCTTTGAAGTGCAGCTAGTTATTTTGCCCCTGAGGACTGCATCTAGGCTTTCCCAAAGGATGGCTTGTGTTATTTCCACTATTTTTTGCTTGTAGGACATGTTACATTTTCTCTTTCATATATTTAAAATATTCATCCACTGAAACTGAATTATTAAATTACTTTCCAACAATGTGGCCAAGCAGATACTTGCAAGGGTGAAGATGAGGACCAAGAGAAACCCAGTTAAAGACTTCACATCCTTGTGGTGTGAGCATGCAGTGATTTTTAAGATCAGGATAAGGTCTGTCCTTGGAAACCTGTAATCCCTGCAGACACACTGGAGTAGTGCAGTTACAGTTTTGTTGAGATCTAACCCTCAAGACTGCATCCGATAGAATACCTTCCCACAACACTCTTCCTGCTACCTTTCTTCTCTGTGCTTAACATTTCTCTTCTGGTATTGTCTCCTGTCAGTGAATACAGTTATTCTGACAACTTTTGCGTGTACATTCAGTGTAGTCAAGGCGTTTCTATCCATTTTCTGTATTTTATCTATTTTCTATCTATTGATTGTTTTCTTGGAGATTTCACTATGACTTCTGTGTCTTCATGTTGCTAAAAACAAAATCCCTTCAAAACAGGTTTTTTCTTTCCCAGAACATCTATTATTTATATTTGGGTTTGAGTTGTCTTCTGCAGTGTGGAAAGACTTTCAGTTCACTTAAGTTAAACCCTTAGAAAATGGGAAAGGAAAGCATAGAAAGAAGTCTCCTTTGTTCCTTCAGAATCCAAGGTTCATAGAATGTCTTGGTTGATGGAATCTATGAGTTGTTCAAAATCCAGGGAAGACTGTATATGAGCAGTTGTTTTGGCCAAGCTGTGTCTTAATTGCCTTGCAATGAATGAGTAGTCCAAACATTGTATTGTTACCATACATCAGGTCACGAGGAGCAGTTTCATGAAATACTCTAACACAATTTCTGGTCCTATACCTATGCACACCAATAAAGACATTGATTAAGTCCAAGTATCCACATTTACAAGAAGTTACTGCTTCAAAAGTGTGAGTGGCATCTGCTTACTCATTTATGTAGAAATGCTTAAATGATTGCCCCTTTAGCAGTCATCATGTTTCTTCAGATGTTTGTGTATCACATGCCACCATTTTTTTAATTGCACCATTTATAGTCACCATGTTTCTTCTGAACACATCCATGCTTTCCGTACTCACTTTTTTTTTTTTAATTGCTGTTGAGTCAGACAGCAGATGATGGAGGAATTTGAGGGGCAGTTATGCTGCAGTAGAATAACTGGAGTCTTGAGCTTCATTAGGATAGATGTATTCACCAGAGCAAAGTGACCTTTGTGGCTGTGGGCCATCAAGCATACAGCAAACTTTTGATGAGTTTCTGCCATCAGAACTTCACTACCTGATGTTCTGCGTGGAGAATTGTATTACTTTATACTCTGATGTGTTTTTAGCACCATAGGAATCCTATGCGATGTGATATGCCTACTTGAAATTTAAGGAAATGTTATGGTATAGAAGTCTTATTTCATGGTTACTTTTTAGAAAAGAGATCGTGCAGATGTGAAGGTAATGTTATTTGCCCACATTTAAAATACATTTTTGTCTTTTTTCTCTGTAAACAACTTCAAACATTGCCCATATTTTCTGGTTTGCTATGTGAATCTTTGTGTCTGTCTTTTAAAGGGCTCAGGACATCTTCCGCCAGGCAATGAAATTTCAGAGTGTCATTTTGGAAGTCCTTCCTCCTTATAATCGAGAACAATACGAGAAGTCTGCTATTGCTCCCCTTTGTTTTCTGCACAATGATGAAGAAGTTCCAAAAACAAAGATTCCGCCTCCTGTTCATCCGAAGCCTACTCTGAAAACAATTCATCTTTCTGGAGCAGGCAGCCTGGATGCTGGTGTACAGGCAACACTACAAGCTAAGAGCCCCAACCTCCCACGTCTGGGTAGAAAACCATCTTCACCCTCATTGTCTCCCCTTATGGGCTTTGGCAATAAAAAAAATGCAAAGAAAATAAAGATAGACCTGAAAAAAGGTAAATCTTTAGAAATTTTTTTTTCTGTAGCATTGATACTTCACCTTTTAACTGAACTAGTGATGTTGAATGTTATTTTTGGTTTAAAAGTTCCAAAACTTCCAAAAGGTTAACAGTAATGTTCTCAATGGTCAGCTTTCCTATAAATTGTAGAAGCATTATCTCAATTCACTGATCTTAAACCATCTCAGGTTATGTGGAAGGTGTTTGATTAACATCATATGAAATGAAGAATTAGTTCAGCCTTTTCCCAATACAGGCGTTTGAACATTCTGCTACTGTTTTTCATTACTTTTTATTCATATCTGCTAATAGACCAGTAGTTAGGATATTTGTAAAATACATTTACAAAATACTCTGTTTCATGTTGACCATAAATCTTGTCTTTCTCCTTTTTATTTTCTGCAAACTGTATCTTTTTATCTGTTTTCTTGCTGTTAGTATCCTGGCTTTTCTGTACATGTTCTTAATTGCTGCTCCATGCAGATGTCTGTCTTTGCATGGAACAGCAGGTTTATGCAATCCAGTAAAGTGTGCTTAAGCGAATCCCAATTAGCATTTACATTTTCTGTTTAATTTCTGTCTCTGATTTGTCTGGGAGTTAAATTTGATGCTAGAAGTGACCTTTTTAAAAATTGTAACTTTATTCTTTTAATACATAATGAATGTAATCAAGCTGTCATTTCTTAATTTTTGCTATTTTTTAACTTAACTCATGTTTCCTTCTGAACTTCTTAGGTTTGTGTTTATGAAACCTACTTCAGAATTTTTACCATTTTAGATGCAGTGTTTTTGATTTTGAAATTATAATTTATATTTTTAGAAATGATAGGAATGTGATACTGACATATATGAAAACTAGTCTACATAGGTAGCAAATACACTCACCGGAAGATAGATCTTTATGGACCTCGCTATTCTTGGGTGATTTCAGTGACCTTTAATTAATAATTCTTAATATTGATTTTACAACATAATTATTTATTAAACAGTTATCTATTAACACTTCAGCTTGTTTCTTTCCAAGTACAAAAAGCCTTCACTAGAAAGCTTTCTTAACAGCAGTCAGCAGTTTTCACATGCAAATCATGTGGCATTTTCTTTTTTTCACTAACTTTCAGTAAAGCCCTGTGAAGTTATATTCATGCTTATAAGTAAGAAATTCTGATTGCTCTGAATTATTGGAATGACTATTGACATTAATGTGCAAGGTGATGATAAAACCACTTACAGAAAAGGTATGCTCTTTAAAATGAGAGTTCTGGTTTGTCTTGTATTATTGTGGGTTATCCAAAAGCATTGCCATCTGCAGTTGTTGCCAGAGGATTTAAGCATGTATGTTCTGACATTAATACAATTCCTTTCTAGACTCTGCAGAAAATAGGTTCATGTTTACAGCTTTTTGTTTACTTTTGCTTTTTTAAGAGCTAATTCAAATGAGCACCTGTGATACGTTATACTGACATTGACTACTTATTTTCATGATTATCGTTTGGTTGTTATAACTTACGCTGGGAATTCTTTGTCTGACCTCCTAGGTCCTGAAGGACTTGGTTTCACTGTGGTTACCAGGGATTCCTCAGTACACGGTCCTGGTCCTATTTTTGTGAAGAATATTTTACCAAAAGGTGCAGCAGTAAAAGATGGCCGTTTGCAGTCAGGTGACAGGATCCTGGAGGTTAGGATAAATGCTCATTTTACTTGCGTTGATGAATCTTGATCTCTGGTTTTCTATGGTTCTGTGATTCTATGAATTCTATGATTCTCTGGTTTTAACAGACATGCTGTATTTCCTGTACATTTTACTGATGTACAGAATTGAAATTCTTGACCTTGATAAAAATGTACCAAGGCTTTTCTCCTGTTTGTCAAGAAGTTTTTTACACTACAGTTCAGAAAGAGTTGATGTGTACAGGGGTCTGTGGGACAGTAGAACGAGGGAAATCTAACTCACAGGTTCTTCAAGCAGGTAAATACATCAGTTCAGAAAAAAAACATGTATTGCCTCCTCGGACATGTCCAAAATCTGATTAATATTGAGGTGATTAAGTGCTCATTGTAAAGCAGTTTTGCTCAAATTGGACTTTTTAAAATTTTCAGATAGATTGTGGCTTACAATTTCATTATCTAATGGGTTATTTCTACTTAGTAACCTCAAAAAGCTCTTAAGGTAAACAGTTTTAATAATACTTAGGTTTTGTTTTTGTACTTTTCATCTTCAAAGTGCTTTAGAAACTAATTAAGCCTCACAAACCCCCTGCAAGGTGGGTAAGTACCACAGACTTGCGTTAACAGATGGTAAAAAGGAGGAAAAAAAGGTTAAGTAACTTCTGCAGGGTCAGGAGAGACAGTGGTAGAGCTATTGCTAATTATTTGCTCTCAGTCAACAAATGGCACCTGCATTAGATGAGGGGAAAATGATTAAAAAAAAAAAAAAAACAAAAACAAAACATACAGTTTTGTGGCATCTTTTGTGTCTGGCAGGTGAATGGATGGGACATAACTGGCAGGACCCAGGAGGAGCTTGTAGCTATGCTGAGGAGCACAAAGCAAGGGGAAACTGTCTGTCTGATCGTGGCTCGTCAGGAGGAGGCCTTTCTACCTCGAGAGCTGGTAAACTTTTTTTTCCTTCAAGAGTGGTATTGAAAGGAAGCCCTGTGTTTTAAAACTAGCCCAGGAAATAGAAGTTAACTGATGTTGGCTGAGAAAGCTAGCAAAGGATAAGTCAACAAGTCTTGCTTTGGAGAACTACTTATATTTGATTTTATCTACTTCAGATAGAAGTTTTACTTTCTTCCCAGAAATTACCTCATAAGCGTCATTCACAGTGGAATATGTTAAATGAATTTTGTAACAGTGAGGTCAAGCATGACTGAAAGCAGATTGTTCTCTTTCAGAAAAGCAACAAACTTTAAAGCTGTTTGAAGTGCGCATGATGAGTCCTGCAATTTATCAGTAACAAGCTAGTGATGGTGGCTGACCCCAGGTGATGAATCTTCTAATCTGGGCTGCCAAACTGCAGAAGCAGTGAGGGGTAGCATTCGATTGTGTTGCTGACAAATTTTGGAAGTGAGCTTTTGCTTGACTTGCATTTGTCTGACATAATGGAAGAAAATCAGACATCCCAGAGCTTATCTCTAGTGCTTAATTTTCACTTTTCCATGTGGGCATGAAACTCTTCTGTCTCTTTTGTCTCGCGTGTCATACGAGAACTATATCAGTGTGTAAGTGCTATCTGATATGTACTTGTTTCCCCTCAAAGAAGGTCATCTCTTTGGTCCCTCTTCCTTATCATGATTGATGGCTATGCTTGACCTTTCATTAAGAAGTTGTTGGGGTAAAGGAAGAAGGAGAGCATTTCCTGCTTTTGTCTCATTTTATCTCAAAAGAACACAAAACCGCCTTGATTCTTTTCTTAAGTGAAAAGCGAAAAGGGAGAAGGAGGCATCTTCCTTTACACTGTTAGCAGAACCTTCTACAGAAATTATCCAGTATGCTTTCTCACAAACCATTGCTGATAGTTTTCGTTTTGTTTCCTTGTTATGGGATGGGCCTTGTTGAGGTAAAGGAGTCCGCTGCCTCTGCTAGGAGGAGAAGCTGTAGAGGAGTTCAGATTCTGTCATGTGAGCCTTTTCTCTTGTGTTCCTGGTGCCTGCGTTCTCCTGTAATAGGACAACTGTGAAGTGTCTTAACAAAACTGTTTTTGGCTTCCTTTTTTGTTCCAACTGAGTAATTTTTGAAGAGAATAACGGCAGAGTGTATTGAGCCCTGTCTCAGGTTAGTCGGACACTCCTTGTCAGTGGTTCCTGAAAGAGATAAGTTGGTCACTGTGAAGTTCTGTTTAGGAAGCCCTGTGCTGTGGTGTCAGTGTCTTTGTAAACCGTAGGGACATTTCTGAGACTCGAGTACTAAATTAGCTGTTACATTTAAGATTTCTTTACCATCTCTTCTAAATTTGAGATTGTTTTTTGAAAAGGTGACTCATCAAGTTTTGTTGTTTTTTTTTTTTAAATGTGGTTTTAAGTTACAAAGCTCATCACTTGGAAAATGCACTTTTTCTAAAGTATGTATTCTTTTTTCTCCTCTTCTTTCAGCATTACACGTTATTCTTCTATAGTGTCGTAGTCCAAATTATCTTGGAAATCACTGTAGCAATATGCGGGTATAGTAGCCTGGAAGAATCTGAAAGCTGTTTATAATTTTTACCTTCCCCAGTTGCCTTCTATTAAATTCTAGCCTCTACAGCAAGGATTAACTGCCTTTCAAAAGGTGACTTACTTTTGAGTGGCATGATTGAAATGTAGAAAGTAGCCACATTTATCCTGCTGGCTTGACCTTTGCTTAGATTGCTTTCTCTGCAAAGACTGATGCACAAGTGATGGCCCTCACAGTAATAGTGATGATATGTGAGTTCTAATACTGTTCTGTGTTTCTTATCATCCCAACCAAATACAACATAATACAAATGTGAGATACTGAAACACATTAGATAATTTTATGGAACAAGCCCTTCTGAATTAAAAAGCCTTTCAGCAACATCTGTTAGGTAGCTTATGACAGAAGTGTTCGTTAACATAGCACTGAACTACTGGATGTTGTTACTAACATGATTCCTATGGTTCGTGAGACATCTGAGAATGGTCTTAGTGAAAATTTTGAAATGAAAATCAGCTTCTCTGTTTCCAACTTGAGCTGTGATATTTCATTAGACTAATCCTCTCCTAACTTGAAAGTTACAGTGCTGTTTTGATCAAAGAGGACAAAAAACCCAGTGCTTCAAATGTTTGTTTTTGGAAGGAGAGGCAGTGGGTAATTCACTATTTTTCAAGGACATTTATAACAGCATGCTCAGACTATGTAACATGCTTGCAGAGTTTACCTAAAAACATGAGGATTTTGTTAACGCTCGACAATAGTCGGATAATTGCTTTATATCAGACTTGTTCTTCATTTGAGCAGTTCTCTAGGGACTGAGAGATTACATTGAATGTAATCTGAAGAAATATTTTCTTTAGATTCCCTGTCACTGATTTTAAGGAACAGGAGAAGACACCTAGTAAATCCGCTCACTCTCCACAGCAAGGATACCTCTGGAGCTTGGACCCATTAGAACCCATGCACAGAACTGCTTTCAAGCATGTTGCTGCACTTGAACTTGGCTCCTACATTGTTTTCTGGAAAGAATTTGATGGCAGCATGGGCACAAATCAAATAATGTAACAGAGTAATGAAGGGTGGCATTTGGTTGTGTTGATCTATAGTAATATAATTTGTCTTTACCTCATAACAAATCTATTGTTTGGAGAAAGCATAGTTTTGCAAATACTTGCTCTGCCATAAGCTATGTGGGAGCAGAGGTTGGGGCTTTGTTCTGGTCATCTGTGCTGATGAATTGCCAGCAAACAGAAAAGCAGAGTAACAAACCTTTACCATACCAGCAAAGAAAGATGTGATATGTGTGCGAATGAGTGAGTGTTGCAGACAGTGTTATTAAATTATAGAGAATTGTGGCTTCAGTTACACTGGGTCATGCAACATCTGAGTTGTACACTTACATTGTTTGCACATAATGAGGGAATAAAATAGAAAATCCAATTTTTGTAGCATTGGTATTACTTTAAAAAAAAAAAAAAAAAAGAAAGAAAGAAAGAAAAAAAAGAAAAACAACAACGAAAAAACAAAACCAGGAGGATCTAATGAGATTTTTTTGATTGCAGCAGATCGGTGAAGTAAAATTTGGACCAACCACGGGCTGTTCTCCTTATTATCCAGTTAGCCAAATGTTCCCTGTAATTCATGCCAGCTGTTGACAACGTAGCAGCTGAGCAGGGAACTGATTCCAAAACTCAGGGGAAGCTCTTGCTTCACTTAATTATAGCAGAGTGGCCAGTGATTAGCACATTCTGTAAGGTGCATTTGGATTTTAAGCTGTTTAACAGTGATTTGTTTTCTGGAGGATGGTTAATATTACAGAGAGAAACTGTCTTAACTGATTTGGATTTTCCAGCTCTCATCGTAGTAAGAAGGATGCCCTGCAAACTGCTGCTATTGTTTTGCGTTTTGAAAGAATGATGTTTTGATCATGCATATTTGTTGCATCTTGTTTTTCTGTAGGAAAACTACAGATCTGAAAGTAACATTTCCACTAATAATGATATCAAGATCATTTCTTTCTATTCCTCTATCCGCCAGATATTGGTAAAACGAGCAAAGCTGCTGAATGAGAGCAGCTCTGGTGTAAGCCATTCCATACCACTGCCCTCTGCAGTTCTTGGAGACTCTTTACAGATTCTGTTTGGTGCTTTTTTTTAATGAACCTCCAGGCCAGTGCATATTCTGCACACAGGCAGAGAAATGTCCATGTATTGCACTTGCCACAATTATGATAGCACTGAAAATATTTGGGTGCATTTATTCTTCAGACATGCACATAGTGTACATTTTTACATGCACGTAATTTGTTCTGAGATTTTCAGCTTACCAGTTTTTTGTAACCACAATTTCTATAGTTTCTTGGCATAATCCTGATCTTTGAAGAATGGGGGAAAAAAGAGGAACAAGCCAGCACTTGTAAAACAAAAGCTAGGAGAAGTGATGTTTATGTAATGTAGCTGTTGATCTTTGAGTCTTTTACACATATAATGTGTAAAAGACTGTATAGGATGGAAGAAATTAAGTTAAATTAAGCGTGTTTTTCTGCTCACTGTGATTAATTTTTATGTTTCAGTGTTCCACTAATTAATTCCTTCCACCACCTTGGACTTGCGTGCCTGAATGAGAACTTGTTTGCCTGAAATTTTGTCTTTTTTGTTTTTAACATTCAGAGCTTATTTTCTATTACTTCCTTTTAATTGTTTCTTGCCTTTTTATGTTCAGGAAATAATAAATGGAACTTAGATATAGACTTAAGAATTTCTGCACCTGTTTTGGGTTGAACCAATGATTCTAATGCTGATAAACCAGAAATGACCAAATAATCACAAAGTGATTCCAGAGAGTACTGACTCCCTGTTGTGTTCTCTGCGGTCAAAGAAAGAGAATCTTGAGAAAAATAGATCGATATATGTATTCTGGATTTTATTAACACAGAAGATTCAGTCCTTGAATTGTTCTGCATAATGAAGAGAAGGAAATTTTGAACACACGTTGCATCTTCCACTTTGAATTACTTCGTAAATAGCACAGATAAAATCCTGGGTTTTATCAAGATTTTTTTGGGAGAGTGTTTTATTGTAAGGGTATTAGATACTATTTCTTTTGTAATAGTTGAGAAATCAATGCAGATTGTGTCTATGCAAACATCTCTTTAGAGTGCAAAGGTTGTGTAATGCAGCCCCTCAAAGTTTTTCAGCTTCCATTGGTTGTGTGTCTCAAAACATGGTTACTAGCTCATTGTAGCCTGCAGTGGTGGGAGCTGTAGACTGAGGCATAGTCAAGTAGTTACTGTGCTCCCAGTATGTGTCAGTAAGAGATGACACTTTTAGAAGGTAGCACAGCGAAAGGAATTTGCCCTTCTTTCCTGGCGCAAAGAACAGAAGGCTTGACAAGAATTATCCCTTCATTTGCATTTCTTCTGGCTTCTGGAGAAGGCCCCTAACATACCTAAGGGGAAT